AGGTTGAGGATTGCGTCGTGGCCGTAATAAAGAATTTGATAATAAATCAGTGGCTTTCTTACATTTGATCAACGCAAGTTGACTGGAGCTTCCGTCAACAAATTTGAATTCTAGTAAAACACTTGAAATATATACAGCAATACGAGCGTGAATAACATCAGCAAATTCTTTTTTGCAAGACATAGATGTGCCACATCTTGCCGGATAGATTATATTCATTGTTATTTCTACAATTGAGCGGTCAGATCCCAACTGATCACACCTAGGTCTGAAACAGAGTTAGACAATTATTGAAAATAGATACATGGTGAAAAAATCACGCAAAATGACGACGTACATTTCACGTTTTTTACTGTCAAGTTGATGGCGACGACGGCGACGACCATCGACATTTGTTTCACCATTATTGATCATAATAGCACTGATACGAATCGAGCCTGATTTGATACCGTAAGCAGCTTCTAACTAGAATTTCGTTCAATTTAATTAGTTTAGACATACGTGATAACTAATGGAAATACGATTACTTTTCGTGCAATTTCATCAGTATTGATGACTGTCGCATTCTGACCCTTGTTTATCATCCAATTTGAGGAGAAACTTTGCGTTATTTCGTCAGATTCTACAATATGAAATGAATGATCAAGATAAGCAGTCGTTTCTCAGAGCATTTTTGCAAGAAACTGAGTCATTATTTGAGAAGAGGACCGAAACAGACTGAAGAATATAATTCCATGGTTCAAAGGACATGGTCGAAAAGCATAAATTTTTCCTCATTCTGGAAACACTATAAAATGAAAGTACTTCAATAGTATATCACTACTCTGATATTGATTTTCAAAGATCTCGTCCCTTTTGAGGACAAAAACTTTAGAAATCTTAAAAATTCCCGTATATTCTTCAGAAAATATCAGACAATTGCGATTAACTATGGCAAAATATTTAAAGAGTATTTTTCAATAAATTATAATTGCATTCAAGATAGATTTATTTTCTGATGACTTCATTTTAACTCAAGCTAATACATTATATCTGAAGAAATGTATCTTGAAGTGAAAATTATCTGTTTGAGTTAAAATGAAGTCATCAGATAATAAATCTATCTTGAATACAATTACAATTTGTTAAAAATACTCTTTAAATATTGTCTTAGTTAATCACAATTGTCTGATATTTTCTCAAGAATATACGGGAATTTCTGAGATTTCTAAAGTTTTTATTCTCAAAAGGGATGAGATCTTTGAAAATCAATATCGGAGTAGTGATATACTATTGAAGTATTTTCATTTTATAGTGTTTCCAGAGTGAGGAAAAATTTATGATTTTCGACCATGTCTTTTTCTTTAAACAAACTTAATGTTTGAAACTGTCTTGAATGCAATCTTTTTCGTGAAACATTCATGATGCAGTTTTCTGATCAGGATTTCTTTACTCAACGTGTCTATTAGCGAAAAACTGAATTTCCTACTATTTTGGTCCGCTCATACCAGTTTTAAACCTTTTACAATAATGACTTAACAAACAGTATAATCTACTGTTTAGCTGAAAAAGATAGTTGACAAACCTATCGTGTAGTACGCCATAGTGTTTGCATTTAAGTTTTTAAGTAATGCAATCATCAATAAAATTATGATTACGATGAGAAGCCCAAGTACAGCTAAACCAGTGAACATTCCAATACCCAAAAAGATTCGTTTAGTATGTTTTTTTCTGAAATAAAAACATAGAAAAGATACATCATTCATCTCTGGTTAATAGAAAGCGAAAGCAGTGTTAATATTGTACTAACAAGGTAAGATATTCAAGTGGAAAATAGTTTGTCGACTGTGACTATAATCATTTTTTTCGTTTATAGTGAGCAGTGTAATTCCATAATTTCTATTGAATCTATGGGTCTTTTGGGGCTGAGCTATGAATGTTATTTCACTCGCTTCTCGACCTGTTCTAAGACATTTCGGAAAATCAAGTTAATTGTTCTTTATCTAAAAATTGACATTTGGATAGGCTTCATTGTTGCCAGAATGTACAAAAGGTTACCGTTAAAACATGTCCTTCCATCTCGAGATATTAAGTTCTTTAGGAATTCATATTAAAAAAATTGGAAACGCTTGATCTGCTTGAAAAACTGATAGTTCGAAGAAGCATTTTTTTCGAGCTAAAATTTGTAGTATAATCTGGTAATGATGAGACCTACTTGTGTGCAAAAGCTCAGATCGAAAATATATCATTGGATTTTATCGGAAAACCTGTAGAATAGGTCAAAAGATGATTAAAATAGTGTTCATTATACAGTTTTAAAAACTATCAGACATTCAGTCGAAGTTACAGTATTGTACAGCTGAGTATGACCAATTAAATGACTGCTGTCTCAGTTGGGAAGTGAGTTCGCACTTGGAAATCTTTGCTTATGATTAGTAGCCAATTAACATGTTAGTTGTAATGTTGGTGAAAAAAGCTTTGACAAACTTACAGCTTCTCTGTTGTATCCATATTTTTTTCATATAATGCCTCTGTTGACATTTTTTGCTATTTTAACGATTTTCGATCGTTCGATACTTTGAAATTAAAGTTGTAAGATTGATTTCTAAAATATATGTTTTAAAGTATGTAATAAATGTTGAATTGACTCGAAGTTTAAGTTTTGATTTTTGGAACTATTGACGTACACAGTGGTGTTGAGATGATTTTAATAGCACTGGACTATTTTTCAGTGGAGCTCTTTTGAGGGCTAAGTAACCATAAATAATTGAAAAACTTATTGGACTATATTTTCTTTACTGACCTCTTACAGTACGGTGAGCTCATATATATATATAGATACCGTATAGTCCAAGCTCAAAGGTAGCATCATTATTTTGTCAATATCTTGTCCATTATCTTACTCATTAAGATCGGGACAATTTTTTAAAGAATTTCTTCTTCAAGCCTCTTTAAAAACATATTAAAACAGTTGATGTCAGATAGCAAGTGGGAATATCGGTACAAAACTATTTTAAAGTTACAACATGTTGAAATGTTTAAACGATTGCTTTCAAAAAATCACAGCTGTTTCCCATAGTTCTACGAATTGAAGAAATCCTGACATAAATTATTTAAGGTGCGCATAATGCAAAAACAAGTCAATTTTTCCTTGCTCCTTTATATATCATTCGATAGAGCACGAAAAGTTGGTTAGAGATGTATTATGTTGAAATCGATTGATATATGTTTTAGGAAAAAACACAGAAGATGAAGAAGATATGAAACAATGAAATCCTATATATTAACTAGTCTAATTAACAGTACATATGAAAGAGTAAGGATGATAGCGTCAAAGAATGTAGATGTCCTACTGCTGTTGATCGGGAGAAGAATCGTATCTTCTAAATTATAAATATAGTGGTGTGTTTAATGTATATATCATCGCATTGGATGTGCTCTTATATCGTCATTTGGTCACCAGATTGGTACAGTGTGATATGAGACATAGGATGATATTGAGTTACGCTATGTATAGTATATCTTTTAATAAAAAGATCTCTAAATCAAAAAAACCCTAAATTAAAATTCCTACTTGGTCACCAGAATAGATTAAGTGTTTACTTATTCACAAATGTGAATTTATTGAACGGCTGACTCTAGGAATCAGGACTTGTAGCAAATGATAACCCACCCACGAAAATATCCTTGGCTTCTTCTCTTCTATACTATATCGTACTTTACTTTCGTCAGCATTAAATATTTTTGAATGAAAGAAGAATACAATACTGAATTGTTGTATATCTACGTTGCCACTCAGAAACCGGATTGATAGTCTAGTTGACACACGCTTTTTGAGAAGAATGGCTTTATAGTAGCTAATCCTTGTAGTTCATTTCGTACAGAATTTCGATAAGTTTTCCCCTCCAGAAAAACAATTATAATGATACGAAAATAACACTATAGAGATCTAGTGGTTTTACTTGAGTAGCGGAAAACTCCACTCGATACCCATTATCATAAAAGCTTTCTGAAGAGACTGCACTTTCAAAAGACATACACTTACTTGTTGAATTTGTGCAAGATCTTGTGTTTCCAACACCAAATTAACAGTGTACTGTATCTACGTTGTTTTATGAGTGAGAATGAAGCAATATGTTGCCTATATATACATTGTGGAATAAATTAAGCTTTCACACATACGTGCCTAGGTGTGGGTTAATAGCGCATGACATACTGATCGTATACTTGACCTGTTTCATACAAATATTATCGTCGTTTTGCTTCCTCTATTCCCCATCGCTTACACAGATTAACCGACGCTGATGAAGAGTCAGTTGAATATGCTCTATACCATGATCACCTATTTCTTTTCTACACTTATTCACAGAGCGCAAAAAATATCATGACTTTACAAATCATGCTTTCTTCTTTCGAAAGCATAAGCTTAATCAGATCCCATCTTAAACGACATTTTCACACATGACCAAATCTGTCTGTTTTACACCCATAACCAAAAGCAGACCCTTCTTTTTGTGAAGAATCTAACAGATAAACAAGTGATAGTATATACAATACTAATATTCAATGTGTATATTAATATAAAATTCAAAAAATCGAATTTCTCAACAAGAAGGGAAAAGATAAGTAAGACATTTTGAATTAATGTAAATGCAATCAATTTTATTATTTGTGAATGTCCAACTTTCGAAACTTTCAACACAAACATCCCCATTTGAAATTAGTCTTCTTTATTAAAATATATAGCTTTATTTACCCAAGTCAATGCTATAATTTGTTTTTAAAATACATATAAACAGTTAAGCGAAATACAATTGATAAAAAATTAGAGATTTAATCTGACTAACTCATTTAAACTACATGAAGAGAACGAAAGTACTCATTGCCAATATCTAGATATTTAGAGCAACTCGATCTCCTCCCTGCTATGTTTCCTGGGCGTTCTTTTTAATAGATTCGTATAAAAGTAAATTTAAAAAGATTTGCATGAAAAATGCACTACAATGCTAGGATCTTTTATTATAAATTTTATATAGGATTCGTCAGGCGAATCGTCTATTATGGGGAGGGGTGACAGAAATTATCGTAAAATGACTGAGAAAGAAGCAAAATATGAACTAGCGAATTTTGGGAAAATCGAGAGAAAGTTTGGTTTTAAAGTACCATATTTCGACAAGAAAGCATGTGTTTGGTTAACAATTTCGAGTCAATAGGATCCTTGACATCGGCTATCGAATGAGCATAGTAACACTGAAATTTGAAATTAGGTCGTCTTATATGAATTTCCGATTGTCGTATGAACTATCTCTTCAGTCTAGCGATGCCTTAATCCATGTTCAATCGAGTACGATCAATAATCTGATCATAAAGGTTTCATATGACTAAAAATTGATTCCACATAAAAGTCAAAACATGGAATAAAAAAGTTGTAGTAG